CCTGGGCTGGATATATTTGGAGTAGGGCTTTTGAGGACAAATAGTAGAATTTGAATGGCCTGGTCAATAGATGTAAAACTGTTGAATTGGGAAAATGATGAAAATTTAACTAAAGTTACGAAGCAGTAGATTGCTATGAACTAGTTTAGGTACAAAAATTATAAATGGATCTGAAAACATATTCACTACAATGTTAAAGGAATATTCAGTGAGTAGTAGTGTCTAATGTTTTTACCCTCTTATTTTTATTCTCTGTATTTTATAATTGTCTAAAATGTGCATATCTGCCTTTTTAATCATGAAAACTGGTTTTCAAAATATAAGACATGTAATGCAGCCCACTTAGAAGGCTACTAAAATTAAAAATAAAGAGAATATTTGAGTAAGTTGAGTCCCTATAATTTCTTTATATCAGCCTATAAACATAATAGATTTTCAGTCCCAGTTTCAAAATATTTATTATCATGTTACTAATAGCAACTCTCATTAAAGAAAACTGATAAGTAAATGAAGCCACAAACTTTTGTAATTTGGAGGTAATTGACTGGAAAGCATCACTACGCTCCTAAATCTGTATATATGAAATACATGGAATTTGCTCACCTTACATAGATAAAAAAAAATATTTAAAAAAGAAGTCAGGGGCTGGTGCTGTGGCACAGCAGGTTAGAGCGCTGGTCTGAAGTGCTGGCATCCCATATGGGCATCGGTTCTAGTCCTGGCTGCTCCACTTCTGATCCAGCTCACTGCTATGGCCTGAGAAGGCAGTGAAAGATGGCCCAAGTCCTTGGACCCCTGCACCCCCGTGGGAGACCTGGAGGAGGCTCCTGGCTCCTGGCTTTGGATCAGCACAGCTCTGCCTGTTGAGGCCATCTGGGGAGTGAACAAGCAGATGGAAGACCTCTCTCTCTCTACCTCTCTCTGTAACTCTGTCTTTCAAATAAATAAAATAAATATTAAAAAAAAAAGAAGTCACTGAGTGGCAAAGGTCAAACAAAGGGACAAAATCTTAACATACACAGAACTCAAAGGCCCTAATAGATAAAAGCAGTTCTTGTTAATCAATAAGAAAAGAATAATACTCCCCACCAAAATAAAATAATAATGTGTTAATATGCCTGGTAAGGCATATCAAAGAAAGTCCTGGGGAGGAACACTAGAGGGCTCTAAGAACCCCAAAGACAGCTAGAAAGGAGAGATAACATACTTCACAGTTGGAGTCTGTAAAATGGGATTAAAAGCAAATGGATCCAGGAGTGGGTGTGTGCTCATGGAATCAGGATATACAGTGGGTAGAGGGTGGTGGGAAGTGTTGAGAGCTGGGTGAACTAGCACACTTAAGTCTTAAGGACAACCAAATCATTGCTATTTTTCCACGTTGTGCTGCTCTAGTTTGGCCTATTGATCCCTAGTTTGTGGCTTCTGCGTAGACTTTAAAAAAGAAAACACACTTTCTATAAATGACCACATACTTTTTGGATGAGTAGTAAGCAATTAAAGATAGCAGTCACCTCCCAATGCTGATTTGTTAAAATGTGCAAGGGACACAAAGTGAGAAAATAGACATTTCACTCCTGAGAGAATTTCAACTGAGTAAGGGGAGGCTGCTGGTGACTTTCAAGAGAAAGGATGCTAGAGAGGTGTAGAGACAGCTGTCAGGTAGAAGGGGGTAAGCGAGGAGAGCAGGACTGAGGGAAACAGAAATAGACCACATCCTTTGCTGTAGAACTTGACCATGAAAAGATCCAGAACGATAGGTCGATGGCTATGCATGGGAGCAAAACCATAGGGAAGCCTTTCTCAAGACAATAGTTACCATGTGGGATCTGTGCGCTGGGCTCTAGTAGGTCTCCACACACATTCTCTGATATATAAACACAGCCCTGCATGGGGTTTGAAGGCGTCCTTCCAAAATTCATATTTAATCAGAACCTCAGATCATAGCCTGTTTTGGAAACAGTCTGCAGACGCGATTGGGAGAGAGGATGTCGTACTGGATGAAGTTGGGCCCTAAACCAATGACTCAGCCAAGGGAGGCACCATGTTTTGTTCTGTTGATGCACAAGACACAACAAGCAAATAGAAATGGACATTGAGTTGGTGCTGCTCATGGACTTCCTGGAGACTTCCTGCTGGACTTGAGAGCCTGGGCAGGCATCCCCACACCCTGGAAGGGATCTGATTCCAGGAAGGCACTAGGATCTAGAGACTACGTAGATGACCTCCTGCTTTTTCATGGAGCAGCAACATTGCCCGTGTGATATTTAATCAGAAACAATCATCTCCACTCATCCTGTCCCATTGCTTTTTCCATTAAGAGCTGTTGCAGACCAGCTTGTTCCAAAGCATATCAATGCTGGACAAAGAGTAGGTTTAACCAAACCATGATGGCCGCGTATGCTTCTTTCGAGATCCTGTGCCAATCTTGCTGTGTACCTCCCAGAAGTATAGAAAGGATGTGTTTCTCATTCTCACTTTCTCTTTGAATGAATCACACCCGTCTATTAAGGTTTCTGCAGCGAGAGGGTGGGCAGAGCCCAACAAAATTTAACAATTAAAAGGAGCTGTTCAAATGTGAGAAGTAACTGACATCTCCTTGGACAAATTGTTGAGAACTAGTTAGGAAAAATACGAATGATTTTCCTATCTAAAACTCTATGGGCTACAGGGGTGAGTTAGGCCCTGAGAGCTTTCTGGTTCATATTGTTCTTTGTTTTTCTCTGTTTTCCCATTTCTAAGTCAGAGTCCGCCAGGGGTAAGTTGAATTGCAGGATGGAGATAAATAGCACGTTTCAGTGTATCCAACTGAAAATAACGCCAAGTGTAACATTATTATTTCCCCAGTTGTTCGAGAATATGTGCTTATAAATGATTTCATACATTTGGATCCAATTGACTTTGCAGCAGGACGAAATTAATTGCCGCTAATAAAAGTAACATTTCTTTGTATTCAGTTGTTGCCTAATTCTTCAAATGAGAGAGTTCTGGGGGCTCTCTTTCCCTGCTGAAGTAATCTTATCTTCCTCAAAGAGATAAGTGGGTAGCATAATGACCCCTTCCTCATCTAGCTAGAAGTGCCATTATCATTGAATTCTTTATTTACTCTCCTTTATTTACCAGGTCAATAAACCTTTCCTAGTTTCCCTTGTTCAAACCAAAACAACAAATTCTCCACTCTCACACTCTCATTTCACTTAGGAATTTGCTTTCATCATAATTAGATTACAGCTCCTGAAGTTCTATTCAACCAACAATGTGTGTTAGAAGGATTCTCAGCAAATAGCCTTCCAAAGCCTGTAATTTGCGTAGTAATGCAATCAGTTCATCTCAGGATTTTCAGCAATGACTACCGTTTAGTTCAGCCTCGTGTCTAAAAAGCATTCTAATGGGCTCAGAATGACCATAAGTGCTATTTGCAAAGGCCTGAAAATTGTGGATAATGGATAATGGTATTCTATGCAGGAAATTGTTCCCTGAAGCTAATCCCACACACTCTGTTCATTTCATCTGCTCAGGTTTTGCCTTCCTCTTCTCAGAATGGGCCAACATCTTGTGCCACAAGCTGGTGACACTGGTAAAACTCTGAGACTGACTGGGAGACGTTTGACATGAACTCCTTGGCTGAGGCCAAGCAGAGAGTGAAATCAATTTTACAAATAATTCAAAGCAAATTAGCCATATCATAATCTTGACCTTCCACTTAACTGGCTATGAGGAGCACATTATGTCTATACATGTAGCCAAATTGCTTTTGAACTTCGAATTACCATTCAGATGCATAAATCGATGAGTGTGATTTTATTGAGCTGTGTTACTCAGGTATTCTTTTTTTTTTTTTAAGATTTATCTATTTACTTGAAAGTCAGAGTTACATAGAGAGAAAAGGAGAGGCAGAGAGAGAGAGAGAGAGATCTTCCATCCACTGGTTCACTCCCCAAATGGCCGCAATGTCTGGAGCTGTGTTGATCCGAAGCCAGGAGCCAGGAGCCTCTTCAGGGTCTCCCATGTGGGTGCAGGGACCAAGGATGTGGGCCATTTTCTACTGCTTTCCCAGGCCATAGCAGAGAGCTGGATTGGAAGTGGAGCAGCTGGGACTTGAACCGGCGCCCATATGGGATGCTGTGCTGCGGGGGGGGGGGGGGGCAGCTTTACCCGCTACACCACAGCGCCAGCCCCAAACCCCGATTATTTTAGAGCTTCTTTTAAAGTACTAGTCTGAAATTGTCTCTGTCCATAAGAAGCTGCTAATTAAATAAATAACTGTTAACTCATTTGAAAACACAAAAGAACTCCTGTGCAGGCTTTGAGTCTACAACACTAAAGGTGACCTTTTTCGCCACCTCATAGCTATTCTCAGATTTCGGCTCCACGCTGCATGTCTGTAGGGATCCATAACCAGGAATCCCACCCACTGCTGAGGCTTTGACCTAGAAAAACCCAGCAACCAGAAGATGGCAGGGACACTCAGGAAAGCAGCACTAGGGAGGTGATCAGGGAATTTAATCCAAACAATCAAACATACCCTGCTGTGTTTCCTCTAGGGTGTTTGCTTTTCTCTTTCATAATTGAGATTTTATTGATTGTAGCGGGAGTCAGTACACGGGCATTTCAATTTCTAAATAATTCTCACCATCCATACTGAAAGTCTAAAAAGCCATGGACTGTGAACCCTTTTTAAAAGTTATTCCAGGGGCCTGTGCTGTGATGCAGTAAGTTGATCCTCCACCTGCGGCGCCGGCATCCCATATGGGCACCAGTTCAAGTCCCGGCTGCTCCTCTTCCCAACCAGCTCTCTGCTATGGGCTGGGAAAGCAGAAGATGGCCCAGGCTCCTGGGCCCCTGTACCTGCGTGGGAGACACAGAGGAAGCTCCTGGCTCCTGGCTTCAGATCAGCTCAGCTCTAGTCATTGCAGTCATTTGGGGAGTGAATCAGCAAATGGAAGAGCTCTCTCTCTCTCTCTCTCTCTCTGACTGTCTGCAATTCTGCCTCTTAAATAAATAAATAAAAACTTAAAAAAAAGTTAGTCTACTGACATCCCAGCTTCAAATTTGGAGACAAATTTTCCTTTGGAGAATATCATGTCCCAGCATCTTCAAATGTTAAGAAACTGTTATATAAATCCCATCCATTCACAACTTAAAATGATAGACACTACTTCTTCAAGTTTTCAATCTTTCCCCAAAATTAGAAATATTAAAAAAAAACCTGGATTTCCATGACGAAAGATGTTGCCGGGTGAATACAGCTCTGCCAGGGCCACAATCTAGGAGTGGTTTTTTATGTGAAACAATGGGAGTGGAAATACAGGAAACTATTCGAGACATATTAAATGCACAACTGTGACCCCCAATTGTCATTAAGCATGCTTTGTCTTACAGGATATCAGAAGTACCTCCAACCTATGCAGAGTCAGGCTGACCCCTAAGACACCACTATTTATTGATTGAACCAACAAATAAACAACACATGATTTTCCCCTCTTAAGAAATCAGTTATATCAGGGAAAAATGCGATGAGGTGGGATTCTCTCCTTCTTCAAAGTGTTTCTGGAGCTACTAAACAACTTCGATTTGCAAATTAATTGATACCAAAAAAATATTTCTTTGGATTATGCAAGATGGGAGAGGGGACCACGGAGAAGCTGGGGTGTGTGGCACTCATCAGACTTGACTTTTCTTTCTCCTGTTTCATCAGACTGTCCTCTCCTTGAGTTTAGTCTCGCCATCTTCTGCAGGCGAATCTTTCGATTCTTGGTGAGCCACTTTGGCTTGTTTTCTCCTTGCTGCTTTTATTTGTTGTTTACATTTGTTTGGTCTGATGACTTTTATCCTTCTCTGCTTCTAGATCAGCTCATAGTGTGCAGGGCGGAAGACTTTGTGGCTCAAGCATGGGGAAGATCCAGGCAGACATCTTGGTTCCAAGTGTTTGTTTCTTTTAAGAGACATAATGTGGAGTGTTTGGGGCTCATATGTGCTTCCTACAGGAAAAACCCAATACTGCTTCATGCTCTGTTCATGCACACAGGGTCTCTTCTCCAGGGCATGATCGCAACCCTACATCCCTGTGAGCAAGGCTCGCATCCTGGCTCCAGCTGAGACGTGAGATGAGGAGCACACAGAGTACACAGAGAATTTCCTTGTTGTGCGCTCAGCAGAATCAACTGAGTCCCGAGGCTTTGGACAAGGATATTTACAAATTGTAATGTTTTATATTAAGTCAACCATTAGAAAATCCATCGGCAGCAGGGGGCCACTGGTTGCATTTTTCCTGTGCTCTGCTGGCTTGTGTCCCAATAAATGCATGGTTGCTTTCTTCTGAATACTTACACTGACAGCTTAAAATAGAAGCCCTAAAGATTCCAGGCCATGGTAAATGTATGGAGAATGAAATGCTGATCAATGGCATGATTGCAGCGATGGGAACGTATGTCCATAAATCCAGTAGAACTGGGAAGAGAAACATGGAAAATAAAACGAGACTGTAAATGGCCCATCACTTAATTTGGAAATCCTATTAGTGATATTAAAATGCTTTAATAACAGAAACTGGAGTATGCATGCAACACTGAAGCAGCCCAGGTCCGGGGGAACTGGCCAGCGTTGCTTGTGTAAAATGATCCAGGGGCTTGACACGGCCTGCATAGTCTATCTCTGTCTGTTGCAAACCTCCCAGTTCCCCAGTGCCTCTAGGGATGCTGGGATTGTGAGGGGTTACTTAAGTGAAACTCGTTCGTGAAAGATCTGAGGCTCGGGGTGGATTGGCTAATTGGTGTAGCCCTCCAGGTTAGTTGGAAACATCTGGCGTTTTCCACACCAGCCTCTGGTTCCATGCATACCTATTCCAGCCACTCTGCCATGTAGCAGATAAAATGTACTTTGAGAATAATGATTTTTGTGTCATTAATATGTTGGGCATGTCCCCTGGCTGTAAAGTATCCCACTTGGGGAAAGGCATCGCAGAGAGCAGACATGGTTTATAGCTGCTGCTGATTTACAGGCTGCTCATCCCACTGTTCAGCTGTCCTTGAGGATGGGAAGGAGCAAGAAAGAGAGGGTGGGTTTCTGGGTGCTGTCTGATGTGATAGGAGGGTGCCAAGACAGGAGACACCCCAAGGAAGCATCCCCTCCTTTCTGGTGTCTGTACTTCATCCTACGCTAAAAATCTCAGTTTTCTTGGTATTGCATAGGTGTGGGGTTCTCCCATACACATGGGGCCAGAAAAGGACTATAGGAACCCACAAGAGACACAGCAAAAGAGGAAAGGGACCAGTAAGGGCCAAGAACAACAGCAACAATCCCTCTTAGGAACAATTCAGCAGTAAATGATCAGGAGAGGATCGCTGTAATAAAATATTCAAAGCAAAACACTTCAATGTTAAAATGCCAGGGAGACGGCACAGAGAAAAAGCTGTGTCCTTGTTTTTTGCTTGATGGCTGGAGCTTTCAAGGGGTAGAAATGGCTAGCTGGGGCAGTGAGGAAGATCTGGCACCTGGAGTCCAGCAGAGTAGGAGGGAGGGACACACCACAAGCTGTTAGCAGTAGGAGAAAGTACTCAAGATATAGCAGGAGACACAAATCAGTGATCTCCCAACCTCCAACCGAGTTCCCCTCTTAATGAGTAGCCACAGGAAATGGAAACAGAACCAGGAAGGTAGAAAACTGGTTAATGAAAAGGGTTTAATTGTGAAAACATTGGGACCTAAATATTTGATACAGTACGGAGCAATATTTAATGATCATCTACTACATAATAGTCAACCAATTGATATTAATCAATCAATATTACTGATCATCTCATTTTGGCTAAGTATATTGTTTTTAAATTTTTGTTTATTTGAAAAGCATACAGAAACAGACAGAGAGACAGAGAGAGGTCTTTCATTCATCGGTTCATTCCCCAAATGCTTGCAATAGCCAGGGGATAGCCCAGGCCAAAGTCAGGAGCCAGGAACTCCATCTGAGTCTCTCATGTGGATGGCAGGGGCTCATATACTTGGGCCATCATCTGTTGCCTCCCAAGGTGCATATTAACAGAAAGCTGGAATTGGAAGCAGAGCTGGGACTTGAACCCAAACACTCCAATGTGGGATGCAGGCATCCTAAGTGGTGGCATAACCTCTGGGCCAAATTCCCACTCCATTTTCTTTCATCTTTACAATAATCATGTAAAATGGCTACTACTGTCTTTATTGCATGAATGAAGAACATGGAAGTCATGATTCACCTGAGTTCACAAAAGCCAATGTCCCTTCTTTACCCACAATTTGAGGTCTTAAGTACCACAACATTCCTCGACTTGCTTCCGTCCCATTCTTTCAGAAGCCAAGGCTTCCAGTGCTTTCTATTCTGGATTCTACTCATAGATACATACCACACAGCTCTTCAAAGAGTTCATGCGTATTGTGAAAACTTGTACGGATTTTGATATTTTTTTGCCCCCAAATACACTTATCTTTTAATTCCATTCTCCATGAACTTTCTTTTAAAGATTTATTCATTTGAAAGTCAGAGTTACACAGAGAGAGGAGAGGCAGAGAGAGAGAGAGCGAGAGCGAGAGCGAGAGAGAGAGAGAGCTCTTTCCCCCGCTGGTTCACTCTCCAGTTGGCTGCAATGGCCGGAGCCGTGCGGTTCCAAAGCCAGGAGCCAGGAGCTTCTTCCAGGTCTCCCACATGGGTGTAGGGGCCCAAGGACTTGGGTCATCTTCTACTGCTTTCTCAGGCCATAGCAGAGAACTGGATCAGAAGTGGAGCAGCCAGGTCTCCAACCGGTGCTCATATGGGATGCTGGTGCTTCAGGCCAAGGCGTTAACCTGCTGTGCCATAGCACCAGCCCCATGAAAGTCTTTGCTATGTCATACTGCCATCCAACCTGTTCCCTCCCTCCATGCACCTTATCATTGCTTTAATAGTGTCAGTCTAACCCTTCTACATTTCATTCTGTAGCTGAAGAAATTCATGAGTGCTTTGTCTGTAAATGGATTTTAAAAATTGAGTATCAGAAGTTCACATTTAATATATGAGAGGTCTTAAAATGTTCACAGGAAATATGTATTATGAAAGAACTATGCTGAGGCTGGCACTGTGGTGTAGTGGGTAGAGCTGCTGCCTGCAGTGCCGGCATCCCAAATGGGTACCAGTTCAAATCCTGGCTGCTCCACTTCGGATCCCACTCTCTGCTATGGCCTGGGAAAGCAGTAGAAGATGGCCCATGTCCTTGGCCCTTGCACCTGCATGGGAGACCCAGAAAAAGCTCCTGGCTCCTGGCTTCGGACCAGCTCAGCTCTGACCGTTGCAGTCACCTGGGGAGTGAACCAGCAGATGGAAGACTCTCTCTCTCTCTCTCTGCCTTTCCTTCTCTCTGTGCAACTCTGACTTTCAAATAAATAAATAAATCTTTTTTCAAAAAAGAACTATGCCTAAATTATAAAAATAAAATAAAATCAGCTTTATTTGAAAGAGAGAGAGAGAGTGAGAGCAAGAGAGAGCTCCCATCCCCATTGGTTCATTTGTCAATTGCCTCCATAGGCTAGGAATGACCAAGCGGTAGCTTGGAGCCCAGAACTCAATTCATGTCTCCCATACCGGTGGCAGGGACCCAGCCACTGGACCCATCACCTGCTTCCTGCCAGCGTACCTGCAGGCAGGTAGCTGGAGTCAGAAATGCAGCCAAAAGTCGAACCTAGGCACTTTGATACAGGATAGAGGCAGCCCAAGAGACTTCTTTAACTGCTGTGCCAAACACCTTCCCCTAAAATCTTTTTACACAAAAAGTAAACTTTGTATTTCATTTTTTCATGCATTTTCTGAAGCAGCCCCATATTAACGATTGTCCAAACACCTACTGAAGATACAAGTAGGGATTGATTGAGAAGAAAAGTCTAATAATACAGCATACACATGTGTTATCTAAGGAACGCAGGCTTCAGAAACTGGAGTTTGAGAGGGGAGAAGAAACTCACCTGTGCGTTGTGCTTTTAAGGTTAATAATTTTTTATTCATTGAAATCATTCAGCTTCTTCATTTTAATTTTTGCAAGAAGTTAATTTTCCCCTTGTTGAAAAATGCCCACGAGCTTGCTTTAAGGTTTGGATGATTTGCTTTCTAAACCCTGCTGCAGAAAGTTTGTTCTGACAGTTTTTTTTCATTGCATTCAGGTTTGGTCTGCTCTTGGATCTCCTGTCTCTCTTTGCAAGTCCATTTTCACGTTGTTCGTGTGTATCTTAGTGCGGAGGTGAAAAACACTTAGGTTCCCTCCTGGGTGGAAATAAGCTGCATTTCCCCTTTTTTAGGGAAGTATCATTCTCTGGGTCTTCTTTACACCAAGAGTCCCTCAACTACAATCTAATCTAACAGCCTCTCTTTCCCCAAACTTCCACAAGTCCACCACTGGGCTCTGTCCTCCCAAATCTTTGCCCACTATTTGTGCTTTTGTAAAGTCATCCTATGCCCTTCAGAAAGAGGAAGAAAGCATGTTATTGATCAGCTTCTTGAACCATAAACACTCCAATTAATGCTTAATATGGTATTACAATCATGGATGTCACTTGGATTTTGATGCTTTTAAATAGATATCCAATCCGCTGTCTAATGAAGTACAACGTGCAATCCTTTTTACTATTTCAATGAGTAGGCTGTAGCTATGTTCACAGTGAATTTAAAAAGACTCAAACTATTAAGATACTCATTATCTGCTTTGTTGCCCTTCATTTCTTCCTAGCAAGTCTTAGTGAAGATTCCCTTTCACTGAATCTCGTAATAAAAGTTGGGTTTCTTATTGTCATGGAGAATTGTATTAATCAGTTACATGAGCTAAATGAATACTGATACTACCACAAGGACATGTCAAGGCAGCCAGGGAAATTAATCCAGGACTATCATATGTCAGTGAGGCAATGGTGATGAGGTTCTCAGAAAATACTCTGATCCATGTATATCTCCTGGTTCCAGTAGATTTCATTTTTTAAAAAAGATTTAGGCCAGCGCCGCGGCTCAATAGGCTAATCCTCCACCTAGCGGCACTGGCACACCGGGTTCTAGTCCCAGTCAGGGCACTGAATTCTTTCCCGGTTGCCCCTCTTCCAGGCCAGCTCTCTGCTGTGGCCAGGGAGTACAGTGGAGGATGGCCCAAGTGCTTGGGCCCTGCACCCCATGGGAGAGCAGGAGAAGCACCTGGCTCCTGGCTCCTGCCATCGGATCAGCGCGGTGCGCCGGCCACAGCGCGCCAGCCGTGGTGGCCATTGGAGGGTGAACCAACGGCAAAGGAAGACCTTTCTTTCTGTCTCTCTCTCACTATCCACTCTGCCCGTCAAAAAAAAAAAAAAAAAAAAAAAAAGAGTTACAGAGAGGCAGAGAGGGAGGGAGGGAGAGAGAGAGAGAGATCTTCCATCCTGCTGCTTCACTCTCCAATTGGTGCCAATGGCTGGAACTGCGCCAATCCGAAGCCAGGAGCCAGGAGCTTCTTCTGGGTCTTCCAAGTGAGTGCAAGGTCCAAGCACTTGGGCCATCTTCCACTGCTTTCCCAGGCCACAGCAAAAAGTTAGATCGAAAGTGGAGCAGCCAGGACTTGAACTGGCGTCCATATAGGATGCTGGCACTGCAGACGGCAGTTCTACCCACAGCACCAGCCCCTGAAATTTCTTTCTAACATAATTTGACTTTTCCCACAAGGGATGTCTACCTTTCTTCTTTTTTTCTTTGCACCTCTTAATTTATCCTGGAAATGAGACTTTTGTCTAATGTGTTTCAATTATTCTCATATGCATCTTTATTTTTATCTCTCTTGCATCTTTTGAAACATAGAAAAAAATTTACAGTGACATCCAACTTATCAATACTTTCCTACATGATTCAGTTTCTTGAAAATGTCTTGTTTAAGGAATCCTCTCCTTTAGCACACATACTCTCCAAATACCAATTTTCAAATAACAGGATAAACCTCCTTTGGGAAATTGTTGACTGTATAACTGGGGCTAAAAAGGTTTAAAAAAAATACTAACCTTGAAACATGTTCTTCCTGAAAGTAAAGAAACTGAAGTCTAATGGGATTGCATCAAAAGGACACAGAGAATTTTAGCAACAAAGCGAATTTGGCAGCCCCGGACACTTTCTCCCCCCATACACTGTTTCAGCCACAATTCAGGGGCAAACTCCCTTTGTGAGAAATCATAAAATTATTGAAAATATTCTGAATGCTCAAAGAACCAGGCTCCCTGAAGCTGGTAGGGAGATTGATAATACCCTGGCACCAGAGACCCTGCCCCTGTGCGGCACCATCTCATCAGCAAAAAGCTTCCTTAGCTTCTAGGATCACCTAAGGGAGGGAAGCAGTTGTGTCACGCATCCAGCACCCAACCTTACCATGGAGTCCCCAAGGACTGGCTTCAGGTTGGCCAGCCTTGGAGCCCTGATGGTTCTGGCACAGCCTAGGCACCCAGAGGGGAGTACAGGCTGGTCTTTTCCCTTGCTCAGTACAGAGCTCAGAGATGATAAAATCCCAATTCTCAGCTCTCCTTTGGGGGAGAAAAAACCTTGATGCCAAGAGACCAGCTTCCTGTTTCCCTCATGCTTCTCCAAGAACTAGTCTTTGTTTTAAAAGTTCTAGAATCCCAGCGATCCCTTTCCTGTCTGCTCATTCTAAGGAGAATGCAGAGAACAGCCTAAGCTGGTTGTCGCTCCCCCTCTTCGTGGAGGAACGACACTAAGTCCTGCCTAGGCTTCATATCCGAGTCACGGCACCATTATGTCGCTCCCCCTCTTCGTGGAGGAACGACACAGGACCCTGCGCTGTTCCTTCTGTCTGCTCGGCCCTCCCCGGGTTTGCTGCTGGTTCTTCCCGGGTTGGCTACTATCCCTTCCACCTCCGTGGAAGGGCAGTTCCCCCTGGCCGCATTCCCCACTTCCGCAGGGGAGCGGCACACCGCCGGCCGGCTTTCTTCGGGGGCTGCACGGGTTCCCTTAGATGTTCCCCATAGATGTTCCTGGTGCATGCCGTCTCTCTCCTCCTTTATAGTCCTCCTCCGCCAATCCCAACTCGGCTGAGTACGCTGCTCTCCAATCAGGAGCAAGTCCTACAGTTAATTGGTTGAACTGGAGGCAGCTGTGCGGAAGCTGTTTACTTCTCTCCCAGCGCCATATTGTGGGAGAGCAGATGCATACAATAAGTCCTAATTCGAGTAACTTAGTCTAGTCCGGATTGCTCCCCACAGCTGGTAGATACCATAACTCTCTCTCCTCTCTCAGAGTTGGAGCAGACAAAAGCTACAACTTCCTGCTTCATTCTGGAAGGCGAAACGTTGATAGAGACCCTTAGAATCTCTGGTAGAGCTAAGTGGTAGAAGTCTGCTTGATTATGAAACCAATGTGTGAAGACGAAGAGTTGGGCCTGCTATTCCTAATGCAGACACCAACATAGAGCGTCAAGGAAAAGGAAGAATCAGCAAGGATGTTCCAAACAAAGAAGCAAGGTAAATCTCCAGGAATCAACCCTCCTGAAGTGAAGTGATGTGATTTACTCGACAAAGGATTACAAAATAACTCTCATAAACGTGTTCGTTGAGGTCGACAGAACAATGCATGAGCAAAGTGAGAATTTTATCCAAGAGAGAGAAAATATAAAACGGTATCAAACAGAAAACATGGAAATGCAGAATTTGCTGTGGAAGTTCAAAACAGATTAGATGATGCAGAAAACAAAATCTGTGACGTCAAAAACCATCGCTGGAAATAATTCCGTCAAAGGAGAAAAAATGAGTGAATAAAGTTTAAAGGAATAATAGGATGCCATCAAGTGCACCAATTTATGTGCTGTGGCAGTACAAGAGGTGACGAGATACAGAAAAGACCAGAAAGTGTATTCAAAGAAATAATGTCTGAAAACTTTGCAAATCTTTGAAATGAAAAAGATAGTAAATAAAATGAATTAGAAGAAATCCAGGACAAGACATATTATAGGGATGGATATTTGGCACAGGGGTTATGATGCCACTTGCGACACCCACATCCCATTATCAGAATTCCTAGGTCTGAGTCCCTGCTCTGCTTCTGATCCGACTTCCTGCTAATGCTCACCCTGGGAGGCAGCAGGTGATGGCTTAAGTACTTGGGTCCCTGCCACTTATGTGGGAGACTCGAGCTGAATTCCAGCCTTCTAGCTCTGACATGGTGCAGCCTTGGCTGTTGCAGGCATTTGGGGAGTAAACCAGCAAATGGAAGATAACTCTTTCTCTCTTCTCTTTGTCTTTAAAATTAAAAATGAGTAGGTAAAACTTTAAGATAAACAAAGTGTCAGACACTGATGGGAAAATTTTAAATACAAAAAATGAGAAAAGTTTCTTCTCACATATGAAGGAACCCTCAAAAGGCCATCAAGGATGCTAAACAGAAAGACATAGATTAAGGCAGAATGACTTTTATTAATAAAGATAAACTTGTAGAAATATGCAGAATACTGTAACACTGTAATTTTAATTCTACTTTAAAGTTAAAACATTTAAAATGACTATAAACATATAGGTTTAAAGATACATAATAAGAATAAATGTAAATGTGATGACATATAAAATGTGAGGAGAGGAGATGAAATTTAGAATTTTTATATGTCATTGAACTTATGTGGTTATCAGCTTTATGTTGTAACTATAAGGAGTATATAACACACAGGCATACAGTTACCTACAGAAATTATACAAAAGAAAAAGAGAAAAGAATTAAAGTGTATCAATACAAAAAACAAAGCCAGCAAGAGAGCAAAAGGCAGAAAAAAATCATATAACTAACAAAATAGCAAATGCAAATACTCTCCTATCAGTGATCCCTTTAAATCTAGGTGAACTTAAGTCCTGAACAAAAAGAAACAGCTTGGTTAAATGGATCTTTATAAAAAGACCAAACTACGTGCTATCTACAAGAAACTCAATTTAGGTTTAAGGACACACATGGATGGAAAGGTAAAGAATGGAAAAGATATTGAAAGTAAATGGCAAGCCAAATAAAATAAAATAAAAATAAAAATGAAAAAATAAATTAAAATAAAAAGCAGACAAAGAAGAACATTTTAGAATGAAAAAATGGTCAATCTACTAAAAAGATACAGCAATTATACGTATATACGCATTCAACATCAGAATACTTAAGTATATAAAGCAGACTTTGGCAAGACCGAAGGAAGAAATAGATAGCAAAACAGAAGTTGGAGAATTCAAGGTCCCGATTTCAATAATCAAAAGAACATTCAAGCCGGCGCCACGGCTCACTAGGCTAATCCTCCGCCTTGCGGCGCCAGCACACCGGGTTCTAGTACCGGTTGGGGCGCCGGATTCTGTCCTGGTTGCCCCTCTTCCAGGCCAGATGTAAGCTGCGGCCCAGGAGTGCAGTGGAGGATGGCCCAAGTGCTTGGGCCCTGCACCCCATGGGAGACCAGGAGAAGCACCTGGCTCCTGCCTTCGGATCAGCACGGTGCGCCGGCCGCGGTGGCCACTGGAGGGTGAACCAATGGCAAAGGAAGACCTTTCTCTCTGTCTCTCTCTCTCACTGTCCACTCTGCCTGTCAAAAAAAAAAAAAAAAAGATATTTGGAAAAAAAAAAAGTAAAAAGAACATTCAGACAGTAGATCAATAAGGAAAGAGGACTTAAAAAGCGTTATGTTCCCAATGGACCTAACAGACACACACAGGACATTCTACCAACAACAGCAGAATCCACATTCTTTTCAAGTGCACACGGATTTTTGCCCAGGATAGATCACATGCTAGCTCATAAAACAAGTCTTAGCGGGTTTAAGAAGACTGAAATCGTGCTAAGTATCTTTTCCAACAAAAATGGAATAAAAGTAGAAGGAAAATTCACAAACATGTAGACATGAAACAATACATTCTTAAACAACCTTTGAGTCAAAGAAGAAATTTTAAAAACAGAAAAGATTTCAAGATAAATGAAAATGAACACACGACAACCCAAAACATAGCACTACAGTAAAAGATGGCATAAAGAATGGAGTTCTCGGTGGCAAATGTCTACACTAAAAAGAACAGAGGGTGTGGACGTTTGACCTAGCACTACGACAGGGGTCAGGACACCCCTGTTGCACATGGAGCACCTGGATTTGTCACTCAGCTTTCCTGCTGACTCCACCTTCCAGCCAATGCACACACGGGGAGGCAGCAGTGACCGCTCAATGCTTAGGTCCCTCCCACACATGTAAGAGACCTGAATCGACTTCCCTGCTCCCAGCCTCAGTCCCAGCCCAGCCCTGGTCTTTGTGAGCATTTGAGGAGTGAGCCAGTGGTTGGGAGAGTCAGTCTCTCTCTCTCTCTCTCTCTCTCTCTCTCTCTCTCTCTCTCTCCCCTGTCATCACTCTCCTTTCCAAAATAAATACATAATAAAAAAGGAAATCTTAAATAAACAATCTACACCTCAACAAACTACGAAAAAGAACTAATCCTAAAGTTAGCAGAAGGAAGTAAATAGTAAACGTTAGAGCAGAAATAAAAGAAATAGATAGAAAAAAAAGATGAAAAGTCAATGAACTCTAGTTGGTAAACAACCTTGACAAACACCAAAGTCTGAACAAATAAAACCAGAAATAAAAGAAGAGACTTTATAACTGATGCAACAACCATCATAAAAATCCCAGCAGGAGACTACCAACAATTATATGCCAACCAAGTGGATCACTTAGACGAAAGAGAAGTTCTAGAGTCACCAACAACCCACCAGGAATGAATGATGAAAGCGTAGAAAGTCAGAATGGACCAAGGAGCTGCTAAGAGATGGAATCCATCATCAAAAAACCTCCCAACAAAGAAAAGCCCAGATCCTACTGGCCTCACAGATAAATTCTACCAAACACTTAGAGAAGAATTAATGCCGATAATTCTCCAAACTCTTCAAAAAACCCGAAGGAGAGCCACTTTCAAACTCATTTTGTGAGGCCAGCATGACCATAACACCAAAGCCAGACAATGAGTGTTTCAATTCCCTTCCTGCCATCAGGCTTCCAGTCCTGGTCTACACGGTGGCAGCCTTGTCTTTTTTTTTTTTTTTTTTTTTTTTTTGACAGGCAGAGTGGACAGTGAGAGAGAGAGACAGAGAGAAAGGTCTTCCTTTGCCATTGGTTCACCCTCCAATGGCTGCCGCGGCCGGCGCGCTGCGGCCGGCGCACCGCGCTGATCCGGTGGCAGGAGCCAGGAGCCAGGTGCTTTTCCTGGTCTCCCATGGGGTGCAGGGCCCAAGCACCTGGGCCATCCTCCACTGCACTCCCTGGCCACAGCAGAGAGCTGGCCTGGAAGAGGGGCAACCGGGACAGAATCCGGCGCCCCAACCGGGACTAGAACCCGGTGTGCTGGCACCGCAGGCGGAGGATTAGCCTAGTGAGCCGTGGCGCTGGCCTGGCAGCCTTGTCTTTTGCAAAAAATGCAATGTATAGCCACTCGGTGGAGTTTCTGCTGTTTGAGCTATGAAAGTACTTGGCTTCTCCCTTGCAAAGCTTCAAATTACAGGACAAAGTCTCCATGCCTGCACAGAGGCATTCTCTTTTGGTAGCCTGGGTAGGACTACCGTTGTTCATGTCTC